CTTGAAAACATTCAACAAGTTCCTCTTTCCAAAACGCTTGCAGTAATTGCATTTGACTACTTCAACATACATTTGATTGGGCCCCTCTGCATCAATTTAATTTACCGAAATTAATTTTGGGTCTTTATGGTTAGGTTTGCTATTTAAGATTGAATCAACTACAGCTCACTTCTCCAAAAACTGGTTCAATCATTTGAATACAATGCGCGTTGTTTTAATTAATGTATTACTTGTGTTACTTGGAATCACATTGTGTAGCCTTAAGGGTAAATATGTATACTTAATAAATCAAAGAGTTCTCAAAAAACAACACTGACAGATCTGCTCTTTAAATTGCAAACTGACACGGGTTCAGCGAGGCTAGTTTACGCTTCCATGTGTGGTGCTCCTCGTCGCCGTCATCAACCAGATTTGAATCGAGAAGATTGGGCCTACACGCCCCTCCTTCTTCGCGAGGAATACAAGGTGGTCCAACAATAATTCCAGAACTTGTCTATTGTTTATAGGTCATCGGTCTAGATTTAAAATTTACATAATGTCGTAAAAATAGGAAAGTAAATTTAGACCTTCATATTGAAACAAGCATCACTGAGCTGAGACCGTATAACTTCGTATAGAGTTCCAGTATCTGGATCTGTATGCCTTTGATTTCTGCAGTTTACGTTTGTAGTTGAACGTCTCTAAATATTTAAAGCAAGCCAGTTACACCGGCAGGAGAATCTCGCTTTGTAAGTAGAGAACTATTTCTTTCCGACGGCCTATCTTAATTTTTTCCAAACAAACAATATTTAGAAACCGTGTGTGTGTTGTAACTTTGCACCGCCTGCCTCTCCGCAAGACGATTTCGAGGATAAACATTCGTTATCAGTTTAAGATGAGGGGGTAACCTTTGGGGACCTTAGAATATTCCTTTGTAGTGGTCCCTTTGTACCTGGATATCTCCATCTCAAGTCGAACATCAAGAGGATCGTGAACATAGATAGACGCTGGTGTCATGGCTTCAAATGTAGACTCATGAATGCTTTGTAGTCATGGCAATGAGTGTTTAGGAACGCTTTTGTGTTATGGTTTACTCTTTTAATCAATATGTGTTGAAAGACGTCTGTTTACTCCTCGTACATAACAGGTAGGGGGTCTTATTCGGGGATCACTGAATAATTGGGGATAACAATGGTAAATATCTCCGTTTTCATGTGCTTTTACAGGGTCTCACTGTACCGTAGTCAAAATTTGTTATACGTTTAGTACATTCGTTGGGTTTAGATTCTTCAAGTAACTGGGATGTAAGAACGTACGGAGCATTGTAACGAAAGTACTGATTTTAATTCTTGTAAAGTATGGTATAGTCCCAAACATTTTGTGATCGAGCCCTTAAAGCACCCCATTACTGCAGTTTGTTATCTAAACTGGTCCTTAATAAATTGCTAAAAGTGCGATAGTAGACTAGAAGCTAAATGTTTGAGTACCCTATACACGAATGGTTTAAATTCTTGTGTTTCGAACAACATAACTCTGGTATCTTCTTCAAGTCAAAAGCACAATGGGAATCATTTGAGTAATGCACTAAACATCTACAAGCTGGGTATAGCATTTTAATCAATAAAACCAACAGAACCCAGACCAATATTGCCAAAAAATGATATCAGAAATGACTTATCGTAACAGTTGGCGTGAGGGTGGGGGCGGGGATGGGGATGGGGATATCGAGGGGTTGGGGATGGGGATTTTGCAATGGGGTGGAGACTCGAACAAGGGAAGACCGCTTGATGGGATCCTTTTTGAAGAATCGTCAATTAATTGCTATCCTAAAACAAGATGAAATACTTAATTGAGTACATCATGCATGGGAGCCTAAAATTATATTTAAAGAGATGGTGATTCATGAGCTAAATGCCAAAGCAGCTTTCAGAGCCAAGAGACCGAAATAACCCGAGACAACCCCAGGTTAGTAATACCAATGACATAAAGAATCACTCCATAAAAGAAGTGATGAAAAATTACTCTTTTCTACTGACAACCCTAAAAAACTTCATAGCGTTCTTGATGACGCGATCTCTTCTGTTAAGGCTACTTCAAAGGCCGTTCAGAAGTGATTTGCTTTTGCCAGGTTCTTGTAACACGTTAACAGACGCCTGCACATAAGTTTCCTTGTTAAAAAGTAGTTTCAACATGTTTAGTCGGTATACATCATTTTGTTTGTACTTTTCAGACAATTTGTAGATGGTATTTGTAAACACATGTAAGAACTGACTCTTAATACAACATGCTTAGAACCGATCTCATTACCTGATACGTTAAGCCTCATCAAACACATCCATTGGAAACGTTCCAGCTATGGAATTAATCCGAACACATTAAAACAGTTGTCATCAATGGTTCAAAACCAGAAAACTGAACCAACAAAAAAAACTTGAATTCATAATTGCTACCTGAAAGTTTATGTTGGTTTTCACAATTTTTCATCAAAATTACAAATTATTATAGTTTGGAAATCATTTAGAACCCCTGATTCGAACAATCATACACCAACTGCGTTGAAGCTATTATTGACAGCTTCGATGGCTTCGTTCACATCAACTTAGATTTCGTTTGATCCAAATATTTATTATTCCACTCCGACTTTGCATGCAAAAGTCCAGGAATGTATGTATAGTCAAAACAATGCCTTTGATCAACGTTGATTACATGCAAGCAGTATTTAACAAATCTCGATTGCTAAAGCTTCTGCGCATATTTGTCAAGTCAAACGGGAGTGAAAGTGAGAGTAAGAGCAAATAAAAAAGTTACGTAATTTTGTTGAATATTGGCCCGGTTTGGTCAGATCTTTGGGATTACAAGCACTCACTCTGTGCACACTCGATAAGTAGAGTTGACTTTTCCTAATTCAAAATATTGAATTACATTTGCAGGAACGTGAAGGATAATTTCAGAATCAAACAACATGTTTCTAATATGGAAGGAACACAGAATTGTAATTAAGGAACAATTTTAGTTCACTTTAAACTTGCAAATGCATTTATTTCCAATAACTAGGGTTTTGTTTGTCATCCCCGTCTTTTTACTAAATAGTGCTGTGGTCGATTTGCTTATTTCTTTCTTTAACTGTCCGCCTTTTGTATTAGATAACTTGTTGAATCTAAAGGTGGCAAACTTTGAACAACTTTCCGTTTGGTACAGGCCCCAACTTAGGGGCCTAAGTCAAACGTTGATTCAAGGTCACGAGCGCTCTATATGACGAAATAGGAGGTCAAGGTCATATTTTAGGGCAAGGTCAATCGAAAAATCAAAGGTTAGTACATGGGAATTTCATCCTCAACAACAAATACCATTTATTAAAACTAGAACGATACGAACTCACCGAATTTGACAACAATATATTGCTTTTGACATTTGACCCCTTTGACCAGTACCTTATCGAATGAGATACTGTATCATCCAGTAGTGAGCATGTCACAAGCGATCAACAAGTCCCCCTGAATGTTAGATCAATAACATTGTATCCATTTATCTGTGACAAGAGGATCCTCATAGATAACTTAGATAACAGTTGTAAACAAATAACTATGAAGTGCCACAGTATCAGATAAACAATAATAAATTACCTGGCCTACAATAACCATAAACTGATCGTGTTTGTTCAATTATTACGAGTGCACTCCTACATAATGATATTTTCAATTGTCATCTGGCGACGATGGCTCTCCAATTTTGCCCCGCGATCATAGGAAATTGATATGTATGTTCATTCATGTATTTTAAACTCTTTATCTGTTCACGTTTGTGGAACATTAAATTCAAATTAAGGTTTTATGGGATATCGTTTGACACCAGTATCCTGTCATCTACAGTAAAACCTGTAAAACCAGTAAAACGAACGTCTCTATAAACTGAACACCGTTCTGTTCAGTGTAATCTCTCTTTACGGTACCATTTCTCAACTGCCTTTTTGTTAAAAACCTCGAAATGTGAACTTGCACCTGCCTATCCGAACACTTTTTGCCAGTCCTAGTGGCGTTCATTCTGATACTCATCGTCATCTTTCTGTCTTCAACCAGCAATATGCCATGATTTCTCATGATGAGTGGCGTTCGGATAATACAGATTTTACTGTTCAATTCAATTCAATTTCAAAATAATTTATTTCAGTTTTCATTACAAAAATTACAACATTATACAGGCTATGACACCCCAGGGGGTGTATGACTGCCCATAATTAAATTTACAATAAACATGATAAACTGTGAACATTTAAAGTGGAGTCTCCAGTTGAACGCATAGACTTATCAATAGATCGTTCGAAAATTGGTCATGTACAACATTGCAGCAATTGTCATTCTGTAAAACAAGGGCTAACAATCTCATCTACCACTTTTCTCAAACAGAGCGAGGGTAAATCTGAATTTTGGAGAATGATCCATGACCCCAAAATGTCTTTCCTAATATGTAGATTGATGTGAATGGTTATTGGGAAGCTGCACGTAAGACCAAAATAAGGTTCTAAAAGTCATACATCGAAAGGCGCGAGAGGGTGAAAATGGTGTGAATAGTTAGTTACACAAGGGTACTTAATGCCAGATTAAAGAATAGATTTTTTAAACGAGTTGGTGTAGTTATTCATTTTTGAAGCTCAAGATTGGATACAGTTCTAAATCTTAGGTGCAAATATCTTAAGATAATTATTACCATATACCCCTGAATATTACATTCATATACTACATGTGTGAAATATCTGTGAATGAATAAAGTTTGGGAGGGTATGCTGGTATATTTTCATATATACCATTCATTAATGTTACAGAAAATGCTATGGTTGTAAAGGTGATTGTGGCTAGGTACATTATGGGCCTACTCGGGTGACGTCCCCCTGACTTCAGAGCCGAATTGCGTTTTAAGTAGATGAAGCTGAATGGAGTCGATGAAGCTTTCTTTTAAAAAGGGAAAATCAAACTACATGAAAGGGTAACATCCTTAGAGTAAGAAAACAAGTGGCGCGTTCTCACCTTTCCGACGTCCATACTCCAATGATATGTGGAGGAATGGGTGCGGCTATATGGCCATGGTAGATGTGTTCAATTGTTTTAGTGCACATGTCGCTATCTAAACTGTTCATGCCTTTGGGTAAGAGGCGGTGTACTCGGTGACATACTATCTGCTGTACAATCCCTGAAAATATATTAACAGATATTAAGAGATAAATCTAAAATGATCTATATTAAATGAGTTCAACTATTGACATGTATACATGTGTATGTATGCAGGATATACCGAATTTATGCCGGAATATGAGATGGGGGGAAGATGTGCCTCTGAGAAGGAGCAGTCACGCACGTAGGTCACTTCCTGTGGAAAATCCATCAATATTTTCACTTGGGGGTGTAAGTAATGGATTTATTAAATACTCATACTAGTGTGTTAATCTCTTGTTACATCTTGTACAACCCGGATGCCCATCACACCTTAACTTTAATTGACCAATGTGCAAGCAAGTAAAGGATTAGATGGACGGGATTAAATATGTTTTTTTAATCGGCTCCAACACAAAGACAATGCATTTCCACACGGGCTATAGCTAAAATAACTGCAAATGCAGTACTCAACAAATCATTCCGTATCTTCACATGTACAAACGAAGTCAATCACATAGAATTTATTGCAAGTCCATGTTTCTCTTTGTCGACATTTAATGGCCCCTTTCCGCCTCTATTTCGATTTTATCATCGCTAATGGGTCCTAAAACGCACATAAAACGCTTTAATTTTATTTTTAGGGGCTCTATATACTTGGCATAATGTGGGCACATTTGTGTTTTGAGCGTGTTATCTTGGACACAGTATTTTTATGTAGGAGAAGATATCAGCTTATCGTCCTTTACTTGCCTAATGATGGGAAGATGTTGTGCTTTGTACCCATTAAATTGTGCAGTTTGGCTAGCTTTTTGTATTTTGAATAAGATCTTATTGTAATGTACTTTTTATGGGCGTTAAATGAGTTTTTGAATATGAAAAATAGACACTTCTTACATTCAGTCCCTCGCCCAACTACATGATTCTTTATACTTTGAGGCTATCACATTCATAAACAACAACATTGCCGACCATGCCTTTGTTGAAGATGTGCACGACACTGCACTGACTGTGATTTTAAAGTTTTCGACGTGATCAAACTTTTTACTTTTGTAGATTTGTGTTCTTTAGATGTTTTTCCTTTCGTTTTCTGAATATCACAGGCTATTTTAATTTCAACTCCAGGCTTTCATTTGATACTGATTATTCAACAGATTTAAAGTGGATTTGAAAAGAAGATATTGTGTATGTTGCCTTCAAGGCTTTTGTGTGTGGGATAAAGTCGTGTCTGTGAGCAAAAGATCGCGGATTAGAGGCCTTGAATCTTTGTTTATTGTTTTCTCTACTTAACAAAATGTCTTTCAAGATGTTTTCATAAGGGAAATGATATGGGATATTAAGGCTTTCAATCAGATCCAGATCGACACTTTAAAGGGCTTTAACTTTGACTGTCTAAAGTTGAAACAGACGCATATTTGAAATTCAAATTTTTGCTCTTTACAAATTACCAAAAGGCCTTGCTAAGCCCCCTAGGCACACAATCTGGGTGAAAATGTTTTAAGGCCTGTCACATTTTTAATTTATCTAAATTCAAACGCCTTTTCTCGAGTTTGATATCAAAAGACCTGCTAATCTTCAAAAGTAACTTTGAGAGCTTTGTATATTAACTTTATATTAACTTCTGATGAAGGGGGTTGATTCTAGGACATGCCCAACACATAATGTATACAAAGCAAACTTTCACAACCCTTATGGGAATTCTTTACCTGTTGAAGCAGCCCATTTGGTATTGTACACATATTCATACATTTTAAGTCAATAGGTAAAATCTGGCGTTTTTGCTTTGATGTATCTCTCAAGTTTTAGTTCAAGTTAAAATGACATTCAAGTTTCGCAAAGGATGAATCTAGTATTTACAAATGTGCTTCAATGAGTAACGCGTGTGTGGTATTGTATACCTTTGACTCCAGGTTTCTTGTCTCCGCAACGGGTTTCTAAAATGAAATGAAAAAGTCTACAACGGCAGAAAAGGAATTTCGCCTTTGAGGCCGAGTATTAGTAAGCCCGTTCTAAATAATATATAACATATAAAGAGTAATTTAATGTGTCCTTAATAAACGTCGGAAGATTTAGATCAAATCGCTCATGCCATTTCGTGCCCATATCCACCCATATCTATAATGTTGAGCCTGAGGTACACGTAAACGTACATGTTTGTTGAAACCCAGGACAGAAACAATGTATTAGGCTATTCTTTGAAGCAAAAACGACAGAAAGTCATTACCCTCAAAGGTCTGTAAATGCACATTTATGTATTACAGTTACAAGGTGTTCACTGTTATAAGTGCAACAAGTGGGGTACAGTCTCAGAGCTATTAATATAATTCGTGCACCACTATGATAGAATGTTGTACATTAGTTTTAAGTTGAGACAATTATTGAGACTTTGGGAACATAGCCATCATGGCATGGAAAGTTGCAAGTAATAATTCCATAAACCATGTATACGAAAACATTTTAAATGAATATGAAAATATTTTAAATGGATTGTAAAAGTCAAGTGTCTCAACTTATTGGATTGTTAGAAATAATTCGGATTACTGTCGGATTATGGGATATAAGACACTCGTAGCATAAAATTTTAGTACCCATGAGCCATTGCTTATATCACGTGACCAGTTTGACCAATCAGTCGCGAGGATTACCTGTTGTTGTGCAAAGATTTCTGGGTATGAGAGTATAACAAGCAGACGATAGTTCCAGAGCATATGCCAATGTATTCGTTTATTTGGCTAATTTTTGACATTAGACTTAGAATGTTGTGACATGAGAATAATTCTTGAGATAAGATTAAGTTTGACATTTTTCTAAAATACCGAAAATATATACAAATGCAGTTATCTCATCTTGCGTAATCTACCAATTGAAATTTGTATTTTAATATTTTAAATGATGTATAAATTGTTATTTGAAAAGTTAAGACCCTCGAAAACATATCATCATACATAGACCTAGTGGGTAAAAGGCATTTGTTTCCTGACATTTTGACATCAAGGAGTGAATCGCTGCAGAAAAATGACCCCCTGTCGATATGTTAGTACACTAACTGTGACAAATCTGACATGTAACTGAACTATTCGCGTGTTACTTTTCATTTCTTTCTCGTGCAAACTGAACAATTGCATTAATCATTTTAGACAAATCGGACAATTTTAGGTAATTTTTGCCAATGAAATACTGTATGTTGTATCAAGGTTTTTATTGACTACAGTTATAATCAGATTCTCTTGACCTTTGCTTATAATGTATCTTAAAACGATATCTGACATTTGAAATAGTGTTCAGAAATGTTGAACCTCTATGAGACTATATCGTGTGACATGATTTGAGTTGATAATTATTATTAGCTTTATAATTATCACCTTTATTCATTTATTGGTATCCCGGTGTCTTCTGTCGATCAGAAATCATAACCATATGTTTGGTCGTGTCATGTCCTTTTGGAAATTCAGCGTTTGAGACTTGTTGCCCAATGTGCTAGCTGAACTCTCAATTGACTAGTGTCGTCTTAGTGATATTTAGTTACAGTTTCTTTGGAAACTCATTGAAATCAGGAGTTCTCAATTTAACCCAATATCCAGCTATGAAAACGTGTAAATCGTCGTTTAATTTTGTACTAGATATATAGAGAATACGACATTTTGCAGTAAAACAAATACATTGATGGCAACATCAGCACTTATCAGAGTTGTGATCTTTGGAAAGATGACAATTTTAAAGCTTAAGGTCAATATTTTCATATTTAAGACTAAACATCAATACTCAGTGGGCAACTACAAAATATCTGACTGCAGATCTGCATGTCTACGTACATTTGACTTCAGAGGTAATCCATAAGGCCTAATTTTTCATAAGAATCGTCATGGACCCGAAATATTATTTGGAACATATGAAAAATATCTAATACAGTTTTTTTTCTGCAACATGTCTGGTTAGGTGAATTTATAAAGATTTGTGAAATGACTTAAAACTCTTTAAGTTACATGTTAAATCACGTGTGAGGTCCCCCAATGTTAAATGGTCCACCCACCAAACTCATTTGCCTGTTTGTATATTGTGCAAGTCAAGAAACATTGTCGAAGAAACGTTGCCAGTATAAACTGACAACTCAAACGACCATGGGGTTGAAAGCAGTTCGACCACCGCAAATGTCCACAAAGTCTTAAGGTAAATTGTGGGCTATAAAACGTCAGTTGGATGGGTGATTTTCTCTTGAGATTGGTATACCTACCACAAATGACAAATTTGAATTGACGTGTAGTATTGTTTCATCCAAAATGGATATCCCTCTAAACAACCTTTAACAGGCACCCATGATGGCTATGCTATGTATGTTTAAGTGTAAACAATTCATTCACATTGACATATCGTATCTGGTTTTTATCAAATATTTATCATAAAATATAAACAATTCACAGCCAAGAAATTGCTAGCGTATTTTTGTTTCTTCAGAAATTATTTTTTTAACAGATCGCTATTTCACAAGTGTTTCGTTGTTATTTTTAAGAAACGAAAAATATACTCAACAATATCGGGTAGGTCAATATAAATCTTAACATATGTCAATCCGGATTGAAGTACAGTTATATACTACCATTGCCCAAAGGGTCAATTTTATGAGAAGACCATATTTAAGTGGCACTTTCAACTTTGTTATACACTATTGCCTGTACTCTTATAATATGCTTGTTAAGTATAAAACTAGGTATAGTTTTCAGTTTAAATAAATGTAAAATACCCACACGTGCATGGGTTAATAATAGTATAGTGTCAAATGAATGGTAAATAATTATATATATGCCAACGAGTAAATACCCATGAATTCAACGTCAGTGAATAAATTGATATAGATACAGTTATAAATAAATAATCCTATCAAATTTTAAAGACCGATTTCCGTTTCCTTGAACTTGACCGGAACACTCGAAGCCCTTGTTATACTGGTTTTTCTTGTTACGGTTATTAAATATTTTCCCAAATCGTTTAACCAGCTGCATTCCTTTACCAAACGTCAATGTTTTACATTTTGTCCCCATTTTGTTCAACTCATTATTTTACAAGAGAATGCTGAACTATTTTTGAACTCGATACATCGACGTTTTATTTACATGTTATTGTTGACATCAATTTCTATTGACATAATATGAACCGTTATTTGTTATTTTAATTGATAACTTACCTAATATACCGATTATGTACAGCATCGTGGTTGTTTGTCCCATGGTGAACTCCAAGTGCAAATCCTGTCACTGAATAAGCCTAAAGTATCCAACATCCAACTATAATTTTTCACTCCAAACTCATTTTACAAGTCTTCAAATGTACTTGAGATACGCATGATAGATCGGTTGTGCAATAGGCCACTCAATGCTGAACACAACCGCGTTGAATCCAATCAATGCGGACAATCCCGAGCCTATGTTTATCAGTGCCTACTTGGGTGTATTTTCCTCCAAATGGGTCCGGTCCCAAGCCGTATATGTTCAACCCATGTACATCAACCTATTACCAGTGCTTTAACCTGTTGGCGATTTTCGTATAATGCTCAGAGAATCTGTGAATTATTACTCGCTTCTGGCCTCCTAAACTAAATTTTGACACCAGTAAAGTATAACCTCTTTGATTTAGAACGGTTCTCGATCGATCTTCACATTTGTTCCGCGATTGTCCTGTACCGTATATCCACCACACCAATGGTTTTGCGGCCAGAAAATCTCAATTGTGTTTCCCCTTCGAACTTAATAACTGTGATTCTTAAGTGAACACACCGCACGTGCAAACACGCTTAGCTCCTCCCCTAATGTTGCTTCCGGTATGATTTTAACCTCGAAAAAGCGCATACAACAGTTGGATGTATTTGTGGTGTTGTTTATTGAAAAGTACTCGCTCACTTTTGTTGCCCTTTATATCTCGTGTCGTTTATAAGTGAATATTAGTTACGCAGTCAAACGATGCCCAACTTTTGAACATAGTACGGGAAATTACTTTGCTATACATACTCATCTAGTTTCTTGTGGTACTCGAACTGCGAAAAACTGATTTTCACGCTTCTTTGACGTTGGAATGCTGTCTTTCAATGCATCGAAATAAGATCCAGTTGATTGAGTAAGAAATCGTAATAATCTATCCCACCCCTCCTTTGCAAGACTAGCTCCTTAAATATGGTTGAATTCTAAATTCTTTATATGCATGTAACGTCCGATCGGGCTTTTGGCACTTAAAATGATAAATGACTGAGCCAACCTACTGGACTCCGTCTTATCATCAATTCATCTCTATACTAAAACGGTACTTCAAAAGTCCAATCAAAACAAAATGACATTATCAAAAAAGTCTCATGAAGTGAGGTTTTGGACATTGATACCCAAAGTGTCGTAAAAGGTCTTTATCGTCCCTTGTGTATCAGAAAGGAAAAATCAATAAGAAATTGCAAAATGTAAATTCTCAATTCTTAGCCATTGATCCATGCATTTTTATTGGGACACAATGTAAGACAAAATGTGAGGTTGAATATAGGAGGTTCAAATATGATATAGTATTCAAGGTACTTTAGTGCCAACATTTACTTCATCCGTTTGCAAGATTAAAGTTTAGGTTTCAAAATGTCCGATTTGAAAAATGAACCATCCATTTACTTTGTCGAAGTGCTATTATATGGTTATCATATCGATTTGACCGTCGATTTGTACAAAACGAATAGGGCATGTAGTATAGTCATTCGTTAGTTTGTCAACCGTTGATCTAAAACCTCAAAAAACATCGACATATTTGACATATAAGATAGACATAGTCATTAGCGAGGACACGATATGTAATACCATACGTAAATGGCCTTTGATCTATTGTGACTTTTAAAGTTCATAGATATAAAGGTATGCATGCTGAAATAGGATACGCACAATATCATGTGCTTGCGTGAGAGTCCAATAAATAAGGGGTTCTGCTTTAGAACTCGCATTGTCAAAGTTTAAGAATTTAACTTTGTAGTCTTGAACCCTGCGTCAGAAACAGACCATATCTTGTTAAAAGTTGTAGTTTTTTAATTTTGTGAATTCTAATCCATTCACATCTGTCATACCGAAAAAATCTCAAAGTGCCAAATTACACATTGGTTGCCTCCTTAATATGGAAATAGGTACACATCAAATGATTTCGAAATTAAAATAATTGTAGTTTCGAGAAGGAATGTACCCTGATGTCAACAGCCTAGAAGAGTACACAGATCGGAGTACACTCGGAGCTTTTTTAAAATATAAAGTGATATCAAACTAGTAAAAATTGTTCTAAATACTGTGCATTGCCGAACGCATGTAGTGTGACGTGAACACAGGTGTCCCACTGGGCCACCACCTTGGATTTAATCAACATTTTCACAACATGACAGCATTCCATCCAAACTGGCCTATAATCAACAACATGACGTACCTCGTCAATACCAATTATCACCAACAAAAGACGCCGACTTTTTGACGAGATTTGACAAGTGTGATAATCGTATCGCTGTCTAATCATTCTCACTGGTCAGTATCAAGCGACGGTAACTGTCGTAACCTTCGCATCAAAGATGGCGGACGGTCACGGCCGTTACATTCGCTTGATACTGACCAGTGACTCTAATCAAGATTCCTACACTTAAAACCAAAGAGTTAGTGCAGTTAGTGTTGGATAAACGACGATTTAGAAATGAGAAGTCAAACCTCTCAAACAAACACTAGCGACATTGCATCATCATATTACAAATGGTTCTATTTTTCCCTTTTGTTTACAGATATGTACACAGTGCAAATACGGTTTCCATTCGTGATCCAGGCAATATGTTGAATAAAATATCATATTTTGAATTACGCCCTTTACTCACACCGGAATAGCCTGACAACGGTAAAGTCAGATTGTGTCCGCGACGGTTATGTCCGCCATTTGTGACAACGGTATCTGACTTTACCGTAGTCAGGATAGTCCGGTGTGTTACTAGAAGAGTACGCAGCAGGTTGTAAAACATCCTTCATCAAAGGACTTCATTTATGCCTAAATTCATACTTGTAAAATACCCTTGCAGCAAGGATGGTTGTAAAAGTTCCTGGATTTTAATGGAGCGATTTATCTGACATCTATAATCAGATATAGATGTATAGTATCAGAATCAGAACGACTTGAAAGGGAACATAAACAGGTTGATTGTATTGCCATCTTTTTATGAGTATACTTTCTATACCACCCTGCTTTTGTCTGCATATTTCAGATCCCTTTACGAATATCACAATTGAAATATCTTCCATCTATTGAATGCTCTATATATATTTAATGTCTTTAAAAGACAATGTTAAACTGTTAACGGATTCTCGAAGATTAGTTACCAAATTAGAGAAAGACAAAGTGAAACAAAGATGGACAGAGCCACTCATATCAGTTGCAGTTTCACAACTGTGTACCAGGTCATTGCGGCATCAATTCAATGAGACTGCACACAAACTGGCAGGGGGTGCCTTGGCCTTTGGAAAAATAAAATTTCATTCAAGTGATGTCAAGAATAGATTGATGGAAACTTCAAAAAATGACCAAAAAGTTCATAAAACATGGTGGTCCATAGGACGTCTTCATGAACATAACATCAAGTTTGGGCATGGAGCATCCCTTAGCACAAGAAGAGAAGTCACAAAGCGTCAAACACAACAGCATATGGGCCTCGTAACGATGAAAGTCCTGAAAGATACGCTTAGGAGGAGTTGGCCCCAGTGTTGATATCAATGGCCACATTGAAAATATCTCTTCGAGTAGTTCTATGTCAATTAGGTATCAGTCTACAAAATGTTCTTCATATCCTCGTTCAAATATTCAAATACATGTCGTTCTGGTTTTGAGATATTCCACCCTCTTATTTTCATCTCTCCTAAACTGCAACGTTGGTGATTTAAGTGTTTTCAGTCAATTCTTAATTATATATTGATTATAAACATTTTTATTTAAACTCATATACCTTATCCCAATAATTGTTGGGCAACTGATTGTAACAACCATACAATAACTCTCGAGTATTATATAAAGAAATACTCTGAAAATGGTGTCATATATACACACAGACAAAAGGGATAATGAATATACGATTATACATAGATATCCTCTACCAATTAATCATGATTGTGTTTTGTTGTATAAGACGATCGATTTCAATATATGAAATGCGTATATCATGAGTATGCTGTTAAATAGATGCAATTATTTATACCATTCTGTGCATCATAGCCAGTGAATACGTCCATCCTAGAATGTCCGAACGATGGACGTATTTTTTGGAATGTAGGTCCGTCGAACATTAGAAATAGCAGGAATGGTGGTTCGTATGGAAAATACGTCCGTAGGCCTAGTCATTTTCAAGTATATAATAGTCAGGAATACAAATGCCAAACTTATGGCGGGGAGTGTATGCAGAAGACCATAATCCTGTCAAATGATATAATTATCATATCATCTTCATGAAAATTATCATCACCAATTACAATAGGTCGAAAATTAATGATTAATTTGATGAATTTTTGAAAATCGTCAATCCCATGTAATCCAATGGGAAATGGAGGGTTCGGGGCAAATCAGGAATCAGGATATCTTTTCAGTAAAAGATTCAACAAAAAAATATTTTTATATAGAAAATTGAATTGTCTAAATTATTTGAACACTAAGTGTTTAGTTTATTTGATAAATACTAAAGTTACAGCGCTTCAAAGTCATTTTTGAAAATAGTTTTTCGCCTACTGTGTTATTTCAATAAGAGGGGTTTTTTGAAAAACAATTTTTACTTTAAAGCCCTATAATTTTGTAAATCCTGAAGAAACATATCAAATTTTTGTTAAACAAAGTTAGCAAATTCAATTGCCTACCTAACTCGTATTTTTGCAAGGACTCGTATGGATGGATATTCTGTCATATGATTTGCGGCAAACCTACCATTTTCCATTGGTTAACATGGGAATGTAGAATTTCAAAAATTCGTCATATTTATCAACAATTTTCGACTTATTGTAATTGAGGAAAAAATGAGAAAATTTGGAGTTATTGGAAATAAAGTCAAATTACGTTTCCATCAATAGTATTAGTATTTTCATCGCAGGTTAAGTAAATAAAAATTCAAAGGTAAAGAGGCTTTAACACGTAGTTCAATGGGGGAGAAAAGGTTGCCAAACTTATGGAGGGGAGTGTACGTTTTGGTACCACAGTGGTTACAATACCCCAATCCAAGCAAAATATTCCACAACTTAGAGATACCGAGATTATTATAACTGCCTATTATTGTTTAACTGTAATAAACTTTTTTCCAGCTTCCGGTGTTTACAAATTACTTTTTAATCTAACGATGAATATTTTATACAATTTTCTAAGAAATGCATTTACAAAAAATTTCCATTTATCAATAGTCTTTGCATATTAATGCCGATGCTTAGAGCGGAATTATGAACCAACAGCTTTAAGGCCAGTGTTTCTCAAACTCATGTTCAACAGTCTCTCCGATAATTTGATATCGACTCTTAAAAGAGAGCTTTATCCGCATCGTCTTTAGTTCAAGGTTCTGAACTTACATCTTTGTTACCCAATATCCAGTAGTCGACAATGGACACCACGCAGTATTTCCACCTCTTCTAGTAATAAAGATGTTGTGAGTATTCGGATGACGCTAACTGACAAAAGAAGCATTATAACAATGACCCTAGATAGCTGACAAAAGGTATTCTGTCAAAATGAAAACAGCTGTCGGTGCAACTCGGGATTTACATAATGATATTTTGAGAGCTTATGTAGTAGACAATCACACTTTACAGAATCGAAAAAAATAAAAATATTTATTCAAAATATTTTGATCCAACCTTGGGGTGCCTCGTGCGTTCTCCAGATCCACCAGTTCATCATCAATATCATTTCTGATATTGACTAAAAAGCCTTGATGTCTCCATATGTTTGCCCCTTTTAGTGTTTGCATATAATAAACATTTGCATATGTTTGCAATTGCAACTTACCAGACAGCTGGAAGTGCAATTCTTGTGGCTAAACAACACCATAAACAAATGCTCTCCCATGTTTGCTTTACAATTTGCTACCTTTGGTGTTAGGCTAAAGTAATGAATTTGTATATTGAGAAATTATGAAACGGTTTCCGGAAATATTGAATATGGCGAAATCAAATGAACGGATGCGGTATATCGATGTGTAAAATTTCATTTCGGGTGAAGTTTGTTGTTAAAAATCAGGACTTTTCAGGACTGTTGTAACAGATCTAGCTCAGCGAAACGGTTCCCAGTGTTCATTAGTCAATTGTCTAGCTTGCCATTACAAGATAACGATACCGTGACCACATGGACTTTGAGAAATACGACACTGGAGAGAGCTACCACCATTAGACTATTTTCTTCTGTCTGTTTTATAAGCCAGTTTTAAAGTTATATCCAGTGTTCGACATTTACGACTTACTCCGAAAATGAAATCGTTATTTAAGATCGTTATTTATTGATACCGTTCGCGATATTAATTGGCTGCCGTATAATCAAATTGCAATGGCCTTATTTACTTACACAGGTGAGCAGATGCGCAGGTAATACATCATCTTCTCCTAATGGCATATTTTCCATTTCAGATTATTTTAACATGTTTGACTTCCGACGAAGGAAGCCAGCACCGGTCATATAAAATACACAGAGGGATAGTAATATCACTGATTTATTAGCTTTATACAGGCACTAAAAGCCAGAAAAATTGATAAAAATACCAGAATTCTTAGAATAAATACAAGCTAGTCTTTACGACGGAGGCAATTGGTTTTTGGTTGAGATAGCATATAAATGAAGCAATTAAGGCTTATCCTGAGCTCAACGGTTGAAGTGGACTCGTTCAAGATGATCAGTCCCTCAAATGAGAGCCACAAACGGAAGGGATATTTCCACTTTCCAGCAGTGCATGATTCATCAAGCTAGGGATGTATCTATATCTATATGAATATTAATGTTCTTTACTTACATTGTTTATGTAATATTGCAAATAAATACTACCTAGGGGATTACCTTTGATATGTACGGATGTTATCGACGGATTAGTCATCCTGGAGTATAAAAAGCTAGTTGCTAATACAAATAGGTAGTAAAGCCTTGTTTGGATACAATAAACCAAATCCGCGGATCTATACGGAATACATAATACAACGAGACGAGTTTCCGACAATACCAATACATTGATCACGGGAATATACCATACAAAGTGGATATAACTATACAGTTTGTAAATAATTACAATAATTCATCAATAAATGTGGTATTATACAGCGAAGGTTAGGGTTGGATTAAATTGATACAAACGAATGAAAAATAGCATGGATACACCACAAAGAGAACGGAAAGTAATTAACGGAGATGATAAACAAAACGACGATGGGCACGCAATTCCGAAGTTTTATTTCGAGGATACGAGTAAAGAGTCTTCACCCGAGATTGTAATCGTCAATAGTGATGATGATTTACATCCAAAGCAAGGACAAAGCTGTTCTTTAGATGACAATATCGCTGGTTACGATGGTCACAGTTGCCATGAGAATATGGATAATCACCATAGTTACGGACAAGATCCTGACTTGATAAATAATACCCAAACTTCACATTGTTACACGAGGAATGGATCAGTTAAACTTATTCGACACGATACTCCCGATTTCTCCTTTAGGAGACGACCGGGTTTTAATAAGGAGAACGAACTTGGGTTGCCAAGAAGTGGTTCATTGACAGACGTGAACGGACAAAATCAAGGACTTGCCCCGAATTCGGGTCCTCCCTCGCGGTCATCTTCTTGTCGGAGACGGAAGTCCCGTGTTGTTGAACTTCAGGAAGAAGCAGGACTCAATCTAAATAGACCTCAAAGTGTTGGTGATATTGCAACTTTATTCCCGAACAAACAACACAAACCCGTCACCCATAGCAACTCTGATAGCGACCTCTACCGAGTGAGAAGTTTTAAGATCACCAAAAAAGGACAGCTGATCAACCAAGGAGATTCTTGGAAATCATGGAGCAAAGAGAGTATTAATAGTACGTGTAGTTTAGAAAGCCAATACGGCGACACTGCTCAAATATTATGGGGCCTTGAGGGATACGGGACCCGACCTTCACAAGAGAAACATAAGACTGGTGAATCAGAAACACCTATACTCGACGAGGGGATTAAAGAACCGTCTGTATATAAAGTACTTGTGATGGGGAACGATGGGGTAGGAAAGAGTGCCCTTATGCAACAATTTACAACCTCCGAAGACATGTCTTACATGGAACCCAGCGAAGGTGAGTGAAACAATACAATCTTGAAACCCACGTGACCTCCAAGATCATTCCATATTGCCCTTTGCAATCGTTTGATTTCGCTTCTCAAAAGACAGCTTCGTCTTCCAACTTAAAATAGTCCTAAAATTAAGAAATGAATGGTTGGGGGCGGAGAAATCAGTGAAAATGATAGATTCATTAAGATTTCAGAGCACATTGAATATTTTGCTCATAATTATGATCAACGCCGTATATCAAATTTGAGAGACCTGCCATTTTCTCCCTCCTTCAAAAAATTTTCATATCTAGAATTTTTAGGATTGTACATGTAGCTTCTCTTACCTTATACCATTTGCATTCGTTTTACCAAACTTCTTAAAAGATAGCTTCGTATTCACTTTTGAACTAATCTCTGCTCTCAGGGTACTTCATAAAACGCTAACAAATGAGTGGACTTGATAGGGGATCAGCTTCATTCACTCGGTTGTGATCGTAACGTAGACCGAACCTGCGAAGATTATTGGGGTGGGGAACGACAATAAATGATGTGTAAATATTCAAAATATTCCCCAAGGGAAAGTTGCCTGGCAACAAAAACATTTCTATCAACCCATCAGTCATCTCGAACCGATTATAAAACAATATTATACAATAAACTGCGCCAAGGTGAATCCTCGTCTAACAATTTTTATTAATAACATCATATTCGAATTATGCTATGTGTGTCTATATAAACAATAGATCTACTTTCACTGGTGATCCACTCGATTACGCTGGTTACCGAAACAGTTCGTTTTGGTAACAAAATGTCGGAACGTCGAAGGTACGATTTTTCTTTTTTCCTTATTTCACGCGTTGTAGGCAGAATCCCCACGACGTTTTTTCCCACAAACGTGTATCAGTATCATATGTTTTAGAAAAAGTTTATGTTTGCGAAAAAATAGCCCAGAAGACAACAGAATCGTCGGTTTAATTCCTCACTTAAGTTACATAAACGATCGACGATTCTGTTGTCTTCTGAACTATTTGTTCGCACATATGTACATTTTCTTAAACATATGATACTGATACACGTTTGTGTTAATGTCGTGGGAATTCTGCCTACAACGTGTGAAGTAAGGAAAAGAGAAAAATCGTACCTTCGACGTTCCGACATTTCGTTACCAAAACGAACCGTTTCGGTAACCAGTGTAATCGAGTGGATCACCAGTGTACTTTAATAATGTTTGTATTAATCTTCTGTAATTCTGACGATGCGTTCACTGGTAACTCATCCGGGTATGTGTTAGGTCATGGACCTAGATTTTTTAGTAATTTAGATTTTCTCTGAGGTACACACTTCATATAGTAATATAATAACGTAACTTATTTCTAATATTATAGAATTTATCACAGAGATCGAACAGAAATACCGTTTTTATCTACACGTGGGTAGCACAGAGTGAATCAAGTTTGTGGCCGCACATTGTCGTTAGATTAAAAGATCCAACGTTCGTTTAAATCATGTGTAGGCAAATTTTACTTTGACCATCCTTTTTGAAAGACGTACAGTTAGTCAGTATGAGGACGAAATTCTTTGAGAGCTTCTTCTTCTACTGGAACTTTATTCCCCGTATCAACGATAAATGCCATTCAAGCATTCTAATGCTGACCAAACGTGAGAGTAGGTACTAAAACTCTCTCGGAAACGTTGTTTCTGCTTTATTGGTATATTTCATGCAGAAAATAATAACGCCGCAAAAAGGAAAAAAGAGCGACTCTATGAGACGAGATTAATATTATTTACACACCTTTGATTTAAATCTAAAATCGCCATTTATATTCAACAGACGGGCAAATGAATAAATAAATAATTGTATGAATGCATTTAAATATATGAATAACTTAACAATCCAAACATGAATAAATACATAATTAAATGGTGTATTGTAAATGAATGTACAATTAAATCGTACATAATACACATTACACAAAATGAAATTTCACCCTGAGCGAGTAAAGGGTAGGCACTGAATCCTTACGTCGCTCAACCTTCAACCATCGGAGAGACACGATCGAGTTACTATGGCAACTTAAGGGGTCAGTGTTGCATGAATGATTCCTGCAATGTTATTAACAAGATAAACTCTGATTTTACCTCCAGCTGTAATCTAATCGTGAAAATACCACTTTATAACACATTCGTTTTCTTTTAATTCCATCATGCTGAACTGCTTTTAATTAATAAATCCATGTTCCCGTGTTCTTTAATACAGATTAGAATAACGAACGTCAATTTTTTATCGTTTTGTCGTTCATCGTCAACATACGAGAACGATAAGCAGAAAATAAACTTTGGAAGCAATCGATTTAAACAATTACATTTATGTAGCAATAAATTAATGGAGATACTTTATTGAGAAAAATTAGTTGATCTTTCGAAGATTTATTTCATCGAATGCTAATGGCAATTGAACATTTTTTACTTACCAATTTTGACCAAGGCAAAGCCTCTAAAACCATTTTTCTTGACATTGCAGCTGCTTTTGACCGTGTTCCGCATAACTTACTTATACACAAACTAAGGGCCTACGGTATTCATGGACAACTTCTAAATTTATTAAAATCATATCTGACAAATAGGCGGTTTTTTGTAAACATTGCTGGTGAGTCATCAGTAACAACTGAAGCAGGCTTCCTAAACTGTGGCGTGCCACAGGGATCAATCTTAGGCCCACTTCTATTTATTTTATACATTAATGACCTTCCTGATAATGTAAACTCCAAATGCTATATCTATGCAGATGACACATCTCTTCATTTTATTTTTGACCCCAAAAAGCCCCAAGAAATTGATGAACTAGTTAAATCTGATCTAACTGAGATAGAAAATTGGTCCAAATTGTGGAAATTACAATTTAAACCAGAAAAGAGCTGTGAAGTTATTTTCCATGGAGTTAGAGCAAATCCTGAAAATGTAAGCAAATCCTTTCTAAGTGACTCTGAAATTGAAAGAACAAATGTACATAAACACCTTGGATATACTTTTGATCATAATCTGACCAATCAAAACCATATTGAAGAAATATATAATAAAGTTAGGAAAATGATTAATCCCCTGAAGAACCTTAAAACAAAGTTAAACTCAAGAGATCTGGAAACGCTTTTCAACTCATTTATAAGACCTCATTTTGATTATGGTACTGCTATTTTTAACACTGCATCAAAATATCTTCTAAATAGACTTGATCAAATTTATTATCAGGCTGCTCTTTTGTGCTCTGGTTGTCTTCATGGCAGTAATACTGATAAAGTTTTGAATCTCCTTCAATGGCCTTCTCTAGACACAAGAAGAAAAATGCAAATTAACAACTTAATGTTTAAAGTTGTAAATGGTCCAAATCCACTCTTTTTAGATGAAATTTTTGATAAATTCAAAAATCAGGGAACACGCAATCTGCGTGATAGATCTGACTTTAATTTACCAACCAGGTGCTCAAAGAGGTTCTTGAATTCATCAGTTCCATCAGCAATATCAAACTGGTCACGACTACCAAAACGATTACGTAATTTGAAAACTCTCCAATCCTTTAAAAAACACCAAAAGATTTTGTTTAAAAACCAAGAAAGTTTTATTAGCACCTCCAAACTCAATCTAAAAAGATCTCATGAAATTTTGATTAACCAATTTAGAGCTGATCTTCTTTTCAAAGCCCAACTTTATGCTCACAACTTTACTTATGTTGAGAATCCAAACTGTAAATGTGGAGCCCCCCAGACAGAAAAACACTTCTTCTTTCAGTGTCCCCTTATTAAAGAAAAGATAACAAAATTAAAAACTGATATTATTAATATAACTGGACTATCAGATAAACATTTAACTCAGAATGATCTCCTTTACTTAATGAAACATGGCTCTGACAATATTTCCCTTGATCTAAATTCACATCTCCAAACCTCAATCGCTGAATTCATTGAAATGAACCTATAACGTTTTCCCCTCCCTACATACTATATATACTATACTTTATTTTATATTATCCACACTTAATATTTCCACCCCATGGCCAACCACAAGTGCAGAGTGAACCCCTTGACCTAATCATAATTTTGTATTTTGTGCTATTAATGTACCCTTCTATAATGCCTTCGGGCGACTGAAGGGATTTATATTATGATATTTTTATGAAGCAATAAATATTTCTTAATAAAAAAAAAAAAAAAAAAATTTCATCGAACGAGAATTAATAAATGCGACTTGAGCAATTTTGCTGAAGAGAATTCAGGCAATTACGTTCGGTTTTATCATGTAACAGACGATAAAGGTGTATGGTAGTTTTGATAATTGTGCAGAACGCATTTATTTAGCTTAAAATATATTATTGATAATTGGGTGTAAATTATAGACATTATATGAGAAGATATGGTTCGATATTCAGCCATGAACCAAATTGGACATCCAAGATGATATGTGTGTTTATTGAGCGTGCAATTCATGAATGTTCGGGGAATTCCTATATCATTTAAATGTCACGGTCGTTACGTTTTACAAGTTATGTTGTTATTTACCAGGATATTCAAGAAACATTTATCTTATTTACCCTTCTATTCTTTTTCTTCACTAATATCTTACGTAATAGGAACCCGACGCATTACCGCACAATTGCTTCTAAAAGATACTATACTTAGAAATACAATGGATTTCAATGGCTGCAATTACAAGATAATTTACGAAGAATATCATCAGAAATTATCAACGTTTACTTCCACGATTTTCCTAATATCATCTTTATTGGCAATTCTATAAGATTAATGTAAGGTTTAAGTCAGTAAGTTATTAAGTACTATCTGGAGTACACCGCCCAAAATGTAAGTGAATGAGGATGACCCTTCCAAATCCCCCCTCCCTCCAAAACCACAATCTCCAATTGAGCTTAAAAACTGATAATTGAAGACCAAAATAATCAAACCCAGAGATGCTAGATATATAGTCTCAACATCATATTTTTGATAAAGTACCAATTTATATATTTTATCATATA